CTTCCCATCTCGACCCATCTTTTGAAAAATGGCAAAAAGGAGGGAAAATTCAAAAGGTGGGGTTGAGATGGGAAGTTGGTGTCCGAGTGGATCGAGGTCACGATAGCTCAAGTGGTAGAGCAGCGGCGTATCTAGCCGAAGATCGTGGGTTCGAATCCCGCTCGTGCCATTGACTTTTTTATCTCAACTAAAAAACCTTAATTAATTCTAACAATGTATAATAAAACAACTCGCTACCACTTTCCTCCACGCTCTCTATATAGAGGCCAAAGAATTGCACCCTTCAGTTAAGTGGGACATCGAGCAACCTTTCTCGGACATGCTCGAGGGCTTTGGCCCAAAAATAAGTGTCCGTGTGTCAACCTCACATGGCCTATTCTTAATCGAGTGAGGATGATCCTCTACAAGCCTAATCCCCCGAGTGCCACATATGTCTTTAATATTACTTGCAGAGTTAGTAAATTTGATGCTGTTTGATCAAACACAATAAAACTCGCTATTATGGCGTTGATTAAAATAATGAGCATTTGCCTGTAAAATGACAGAAGCAGAAGAAAACTGACATTTATAAGTTTATAAAGTTTACGCTTGGATACTAAATAGCGAAAGTGGATCAGTCATCGTCTTTTGAACCACGAAAATTCAGCACGATTTGCGTAAGCACGTGTGCCATGACATAGCAAAAGGTAGAAAACACTTCACATAACCGAGGGAAGAAAAACCCTTTCAATTACACAAACAAACCACTCGATATCTGAAAACCCATTACCATGGAGACGAATTCACATTCATCAGCCATTAAGAGACTTATTGTTTGGACAACTTCAAAAAGCCCATAAATTATCCAGCGTAGACATCGTCAATCCCGGTCAGTCCGTCCAACTTTTCCTTTCTCCAGGAAACTATAAAAAGACCGAGTTCGACGACCCGGGAGACGGCAGCGGCGTCGAGCCGAAACGCGTCCGACTCCAGACGGACAGCGTGTACTGAGGGAACATCGTCCAGCTGGATTAAATAATTTAAAAATACAACACGACAGTGATGAATCATTAAAAGTTACAATAGATAGTTGATGTTTTCAATATTTTACCCGGTTCATCAGGAAACCATAAAAATTACCTATTAACATTTATTTATGAGAAATTTAATTATTTAGGCAGACAAAATTGTATACAAATAATTTAATTTGGAATTTATATAATCAATAAAGTAACATTATGATAAATAAATATATAATTTTTTTTAAAATGCATTCAGCCTAAATAAAAAACGCATGAGACATTTTATTCAGTGATACAATTTTCTAGTAAATTAATAATCAAAATTAAATTTTTCAGTAAAATAGATTTTTACATGAAATTTCTACAATTTTACAGAAAAGTCTTTGTTTTTTTATTTCATTTGGCTGTTCTGCAAGGCATGAAATTAAGACGCCATAATTGATACCATTGTCATAAAGGTACCAGCATTGTAAAATTGATAATAAAATCATTAAGTGTTACAAAAGATAGTTGATGTTTTCAATATTTTACCCGGTTCATCAGGAAATCATAAAAATTACCAATTAATATTTATTTATGACAAATTTAATTCTTTAAAGATCTGGTGCTTTTTTTCAAAAGGACAGATTGTCAAACGGTTAAATTATGCATTTTGTTTACGCATAAGGTCAAAAAGGTAAAAAAAAAGGCAAAAAATTCTAATTGTCATTTTGATGGGCTTTTGCTTTTAACAAACTTCAATCAACAAATGATAATCGAATTCTATTTGGCTGTAGTTACTTTGCAAAATCATATCATAAATCAAATATGAAAAACCTTTTATTATACCTTTGATTTCTAGATAGGTCAATATTTTAAATAAAAAAGGAAGGTAATAAATTTAAAAAATTCTGGTTTTCTCATTGAAAAATAAAATCATCATTTTAAACTTTATTATTTGATTACAGGTTTAGGAGTTTATAACGTTTACCAACCTTCTATTTAATCCGTTTCAGGTTTTTGGATCAACGCCACATGGCAGTGAAACGAATTCTTATGCATCTGTGAATTATTCTATTTTTGAGAATCGGAATATGTTATGTCTAGGAAGTCGAGTCTTGTCTTGTTAATTCATGGACACAAAACAAATCGAAAGCTGCATCAACAAATTTCGTACAATTACGAATGCAATACGGTCAAAAATAATCACATATGATCCCGTTTTAGGTTTTGATGGTCTAAAAACACAGACCTATTTGAAATTCTTGTAAGAAAATTACGACAACATTTAATATGTAACAACTGTGTAGTAAATTTACAAAATATTTTTATAAACTTTTTTGAGCTGTGTTCAGTGCTAAATAACCCATCAACTAACTATGTAAATCTAAAAACAAAATATGATAAATCAAGAATTTTAAAATTCACCAGGCTATGATCTAGAACTCCTTATAAGAAGGATCGTAGGGACAGACTGAACTAAGAAACTAGGAAAGTACAGTAAGTCAGAAGGCTGCAGTGTTTGGACAACATGGGAACATAAACACCAAAGTCCTAGTCTCATTTCATCATCATCAACATCATCCGAAAGCTCAGATCTTACTGAAACTAAAACTAAATACAAAATATGACAAAAACAATTAAAATTCGCTAATGTAATCGAATGTGTGCAAAAAAGTACACTGCAGTTGTTTTTAGATTAATTTTTTCTCCTTCTCACTTATGAAAAAGCCAAATTTCGTTCAAATAGACGTTTACACAACATGGACATATACAACTATGATCCCTTCTCTGATTATGTAATGAGGAGGAGGAAACAGCCATCCATATCATCTTCAAAGCTAAAGGTCAATGGAGATTTAACTTAGCATACGAGAAAGATCAATGACCTGATACTTCCAAGAAGAAGAAGGTTTGAGTCTATTGCACTGAACTAAAGAACACGGAAGGCTGTACATGGGGAGCATAAACCCCGCTTTCTAGTATCTTTATTGCCATACCATTGGCATAAGCTGTAATTCCTTTCTCTCTATCTGCTCTTTCTGTCTGCTTTATCGGGTTGAAATTTCTTACGAAATCTTGATTTTGGGATGCTGTATGCACGCAGACTTTAATACCCCGTATCTGGTGGCCCTAGACTCTACCTGGATGAAGATACGAAGTGGTGGAAGATTTAGGACCCTCATAGACCCAGTAATACTCAGCCAAGTAAATCTGTGAGCAGTACTGAGGATCCTGACAGCCCTCAGTTGTGTTATTACGGAAGGAATTTTTTAAGCCAGAAGGCTGTACTTGGGGATCACAAACCCAGCTTTCTAGTATCCTTACTGCCATACCATTGGCATAAACTGGGCTCTATCGGATTGAAATTTATTACGAAATCTTGATTTTGGGATGGTGTATGCACGCAGACCGTAGGAGCCTGTATCTGCATGTGATTTGTGGGTCTAGACCCTCCATGGATAAAGAGATGTAGTGGTGGTAGATTTAGGACTTCCATAGACCCAATAATACTCAGCCAAGTTAATTTGTGAGCAGTCTGAGGATCCTGACAGCCCTCAGTTGTATTATCTTCATCCAACAAACCAACAATCTAGGTTATGATGGGTCTAACAACCGATATGTATAAAGGGATCTTTGGATCTTAAGCTACAAATGCGTTTTCATCTGCTAACGGCCATTTTCTGTGAAATTGTATTTGGTTGCTGATTTCAAGAACGACTATTGTATCGAAAATAAATTATTTATTCTACTCCTGTCTGTTTTATCTTCTCTATTATATATGTTTATAATTGAATACATGCTTATTTTATTTTTTTTTAATAACTTTTGACGAATTCTTGAAATCTTCAACTCCATCTAGGAAATGATAAGAAATTGTCTACCTATTAGCAATATTTTATGTTGGTGTTGAAGTTACGACCTGCAATGACTGAAAACCCCCTTGTTATTACGCAAAGGGAAAACGTCTGCTGATTTATCCCTCATCCCCTTTAATAAATGGGCCATAGAAGTCCATTTCCGTTCTTCATGGGTCCGATAATGGTGCCGATACTCCCTCGTTATGGACCGAACGACACATCCTGAAGATACGGACATACGACAAACATCCAATTAGGGATTTCAAACTTTATTATCTACTTAAACAACATTTAGTTGAAACATCGCGATATTGATAAGTTTCAATGTTTCTAATTGGTTGTGTTTAGTTTCACTTTGATCCCTGTAAATTTCAAAATCCTTGGCCACTGATCTTGTCAGAAATAGATCGTTTTTGTCGCTTTGAAAGCAAACAACAAACAGAGAAGTGGTCTCGTAAATTTCTGTCGCTTAATCTGGCGTCAAAGACTGAAGTACTAACAAGTTTCTTTTTGCGTTGGTAGTTGTTACTATATTTATTCATGCTGATAATTATGAGAAAAGAATCAATCGTATTTGTAACTCCACAATACATCCATTTTTAGACCATCACTCACCATCAAGAAATCTAATAACTCTAAACCAGCTAACAAATTATACTCAAATTCTCAAGTAACATCGAAAATAAATTTTAAAAAAATAGTTTCGCAATAATTGCAATGCAAGGGATTATTTATAGAGCAAAACACGAGGTCGAGGCCACAGGATTTAACTTTTTAAATCCTCCTATTACACTTCTTAAGTACAATTTACAAATCCTTCAATTCTCAAGAATACTTAGACAATTGTCCCTTCTACGATACTTGAAACAGTTTAAAGTCCTTGACGTGGTTTAGCCCTTCTCACTGGCCAAACCTTTAAACTAACAACCTAAAAAAAGGTACTTTCAAGGTTTTAAGATTTATCTGCTTGACTGACCATTATTTAATGTAAATAAGTCTTCTAGATTTCATTTCAATCGAACCACGGTCGTTCTGGCATGATGTCTCGGTGATTCAGGTTCAGTTACCTTTCTCTGTGATCATGGATGATTAAACAGATACGTTTCATCTTCTAAGAAATACATTTCACAGTATTAATATTCATAACTTTCTATTTCAGGTGCAGTGAGTGATGTGAGGCGATGCTTTCTTACATGGTCCCCTCGGTAGAGGATAAACCTCCACCGGTACCGAAGGGTCACCTCCAGTTGGAGTTGCAGGACCAAACGCCGATCATAAACGGCCACCCGCCGAAAAGGATAATCAAAACACAAAGCAAAACATCAACTATATCCGCGGAAAGTAGCGCCAGCAGTCTGAGCTCGGTGCTTAGCGAAGTACCAGGGACACACAACAACACTCCGTCCCAGGACAAGCCTAAGAACAAGCTAATTACAAATGGTGCCGTCAAACACCCAACACTTAAAAGGTAACATAAGCAAATAAAACTATCTTTATTGAACCCTATAGTATACGATTTTTACTTTTATTGAGGGGCAACGCAGGGGCTTTTTGCCATGGCTGTGTTTTAAGCCCTCTATTATTTCATGTTTAGTTAAAAATCCGTTAAGCTATCAAAATTTAGGACAAAAACGTTAACCTAATGCCGGTTCAGCATGAGTTTCACCGACTCGCAGCATCAATTCTTCTGTTAAATTATTAACATTTTTATTACACGTAATTGATTATGATAGTAATAAGACCTTACTAAAAAATATTAGGCTTATTACCTGAGATTATCGCCGATATATCAATATTATAGGAGATTATCTCTTATATATAAATATACTCCTTAGGAGAAAGATCGGGTCGATTATATATATATGGCAAAAAATATATGCATCAAGAAATATATAAATACATTAAAAATATAAATAATAAACTCGTNATAAATTCCATCCAACTGTAATATAACTTGATTTGTATATATTTTTATATATTTATCTATTTTTAATGTATTTATACATTTTTTGATGTGTATATTTTTTGATTATAACTTGATGTGTATATATTTTTATTTATGAACCAAAGTTTCACGGTTTAAAAAAAAAATATATATATATATATATATGGCAAGCAAAAAATTCCATCCACTTTTAATATAACTTCATTTGTATATATCTTTTATATATTTATATATTTTTAATGTCTTTATATATTTTTTGCCATATATATGTATATACTGACAGGCAAAAAAATCCATCCACTTGTAATATAACTACAATAGATTCGTATATATTTTTATATATTAACCAATGTGTCACGGTTTTCAACGATTGATAATTGAGTCTTTGTCTAAAAAAGTAAAAAATAATATTAATTACGGAAAGTGAAATAAAAAAACTTTTTACAAAAGTCGGACAGATAAAATTTGTTTTAATTTTCTTTTAGAATTTTAATTAACATTAAAATATCACGTATATCTTCCTCTTAGCTTAATTATATCTCGAAGATGCCTCGGCATATTTAATGTAATGCAATGACTTTTTGCTGGAGGTTAGCGCATTCTTCACGAAGAGTCCTTTCCAGTTCGTGGGTTCGAATCCCGCTCGTGACACTTGCTTTTTAATCTCAACCATGACCTTACATAAAAAGAAAAATTAATTGAAATAATTAATACGGTCAATAAGACTACTAAACTTAAATGGATTATCATAATATTTAAATTATTAACTATATCAAAACACGGTGAATATTTAACGCAAGTTCGTACAAAAAGCGTTAAAATGACAAATGTTTAAAATATTTAGAACAGAGCATTAATTTTAAACGAGCGATTTAAAAAAACTAGCACAGTACGGTTTTCAAACGTTATTTGCAGAAGATTTAATGGGCGTCGTGGTTGTTTACCAGCATATATTTTTCTCCCCGGCTATCGCAATAGCCATCCCGTTACTATCTTGGGCCGTGTCAGTTGTTTATTTATCCTCAACAAATAACTCTTTCTTGAAAAACTAAGTCGGACAACGAAATGTAAATAGCAAAGCGTTTATTTGTTTGTTTTTTTAAATAACGTTGTATGCAATCTTTCTCGAAATTAATATACTGGAACATTAAGCTAAAGATTTTGTTTTCGTTTTATTAGAAATTAACAACCGTACTGTCCCGAACCGGTAAGTCACTCAGTATTGACATTCCGATATTGGTAAACGTAAGCATTAATTGATGGCGTGGAAAACATAAGGCTACGGTTACTATGATAGTAGATTCGCTGCTCGTAACATATTAATTATTCCTACAGCTACGATTTTTGTTTTATGCACCGAATGCTTGAAACATCCACATATTGTTGTATTTTTCACAACGAGAAGATAACCGACTGTTGTCGTTTTATTTATTTATTTAACAGGCAGATGCCCACAACTTATGCACCTTAAATTTATAAGAAACAAATTGGAGAAATTTATTCTGTACAAGTTTAATCTGATCAATTCCGGAGCTGTAAAAAAGGGACTCCAGACAAGACAGCCGTATTCTAACATGCGCCTTACAAAAGAATAACATAACATTTTCAATACAGTCATTAAAATCACTTGCAATTTGTGGTGAGTAGTGACCGTTAGTCAATAATTATTCTGAAATCGTGAGATGTGGTCTGGTGTGATGTAGGTTTCAGAAAAGGTTTCAGGCCCTCCCAACACGACACGCAAGAATGGCACAATTACACAGAAGACAAACACTTTGAGCCCTGAAGATGATCTCAATAAAGATCGAAACGTTGGCACGATANCTGTTTGATTGAGGTCACGATAGCTCGAGTGGTAGAGCAGCTATCAAGCCGAAGATCGTGGGTTCGAATCCCGCTCGTGCCATTGACTTTTTTATCTCAACTAAAAGCCTTAATTAATTATAATAAATTAGAACATGTATTTATAAAATGTGGTGGTAAATTATCCGGTTCTGACGAGCCTTTGGGTATCACAGCATTGAGTTTTTGGGTGATTGTATTAATATCAATACTATAATTAAAATTATAGTTAACGAACAAATCAATATCAGTATAACAGCTTTTTTAAATCTTGCCTCACAACGTTTGACAACTGCAAATAATTAGAACCTGAAATAGAAATTGCTTGTAAACGTGGTAATTCATATAATGTCCTGTGGAAATTGAAGTTCCTGTTCCATTTTCCATTAATTTTCGACAAAAATAAAATCCTTTCGTAAATGTAAAAATCATGTACAAATTCATAAAAAATTTGTAACCAGCGACCGTATATTTTGGCATGTAGCAGCTAAGCGGAAACCTAGGGCATTGGCTTTTCTCGACGCCTAACATTTATAAATAAGTTATAAGGCAGGCCTACCTACAATCCGCTGTTTAAGCCACATTGTAAGGCCAGTAACCGTTAATCACTTTTAAGATGTAAATCATCTTTACGCCCAAAAACGTTCACAACATGTTCCAATGTGGGACGAAATATATTTGAATATCTCTTGTATAAAATAAAAAAGCACGTTCTTTGTAAAATTCAGATTAACTTTTAAAAACACGCAATCGAGATGAAACTGAAGAATGTTTTTTTTTAAATCATAACTGTCCATTTTTTTTAAAATCAGATTAATATACAAAAAATTCTCACCATCGCACCAAGTTTGATCTAGGAAAAATAGTTTGATAACAAACAATGCCAAAAATATTGTAAGAGTTTACTCTTCTTTATAAAACTAATATTGAAACATTAAATTAGCAACAAATGAGTGCAATGTACATAGGTGTTAAAGGAATTTTTTTGCGACTCTTCTATAATACAGTCGCACAAATAAATATATTCAATTGTGTGTTTAACACCTTGTGATCATTAGCAAAAAGCTAAAAGAGACTAGAAATAAAACATTCAGTACGATCATTCATAAAATATTAAAAATAATTAGGGGGGAATGGCAAAAAGGAGGGAAAATTCGAAAGGTTGTAGGTTGAGATGGGTAGTTTGTGTCCGAGTGGATCGAAGTTACGATAGCTCAAGTGGTAGAGCAGCGGCGTATTTAGCCGAAGGTCGTGGGTTCGAATCCCTCTCGTGGCACAAACTTTTTCATTTGAACCAAAACCTTACATAAAAAGATTAATTAATTGAAAGATTTAATAATGTTGATGACAAGCTCCTGGGTCAAAAACCCCGCCGACAAAACTTGCTCTATGGTTACACTGCCATACCTTGCCTCGTTAGACGTCTAAGCATGCCGCCGAATTTAAGAATGGTTTCCCTTTTACTCTTTATTTTTTTATTGTATGTAGATTTGTTTTGTGGGTTTTATATGAGACTGAAATATGGCGTCTCCAGCAGTGTGTGTAGATCGATGGAGGAATATCGAGTATTCCATTGACCAACCATTGAATGTATGTATTTGTGCGACTATATTATCGAAGTTAGTTCGTTTTAGACCAGATTACAGTTTGAATGCGTTAGGGGCTGAAATGAGCTGTCGAAGCCCCTGTTGGAGCTTAACCACGTTGGATGGGAAGCGACAATCTACTCGGTATCTGTCTTAAGGATGTTTTTGAACTGGATACGCGATGTTTGGGTTAGGGGGACTTTAGGCTAGATAAGGTTAGCGTTAGCGTTGGGCAGGGTCAGCGATGGTTACGTTTTATACCCATGATTAAATGTTTTTCCTTAATGGGGAGAAAATAAGGAGCGTAAATCGACGGTGGTATCACATAAGAACTATATTTTTATCTCCTCTCATAATTAGATGCCGTACTGAACTCTAGAATGATATGGTATTAATTTACCCTTGAGGCCGATTGGTTCGTCTGTTATTTTTCTATTTGTAAAGTTAACATCTACGAATTATCGGTCGTTTGTTTTGATCTGCAATGTATCTGTCCAGTCATTGTGATTTGCAGTTTCACGGATGCATCGATGCTTTTTTTCAACTGAGATGACAGCTGAGTCATCGGCAAATGTTACAATAGTTACGTTTTCCATCTGTATTGGGGCGCTTGTGTAAAGCAAATACAGTACACGGCCTAGAATGCTGCCTTGTGGTACGCCACCATTTTTTAGTTTATAAAAAATCTGTTCCCCTTCGTTCAGACACAAAATGGGTTTATCTACCATCATAAGATTTAAATTTCTGCAATTTAACTTAACATGTATCTAGCACACCAAAACTTTCTTTAGTGAATAATTGGCATATTTATAAATCAGGAGGATAAAAGTAGTTAGGAGGATAATAAAACTGGCCAAATAGATGACAAAATTTTGATTATTTTTGCTACGTAATGTTTTCATGGCGGGATTCCTTTTAAGGTTTTTAAATAATAAGTGAAGCTTAAATTCTATTGTTGTTAATTGTTAAACGAACGTTTTTTCAGTTTTTCCTTTCGGATCGGGAGGGCAGTGACTTGTGCCATTTATTCTCCTGGGTTTCCGGTGGCCGGATATCACGGATTACAATGAACCGTAAAAATCTCTGGATTAGATT